TTTTTTCCTTTAATGCTCCCTGGTACAATGGTTTGCCACATGTTTACAGGAAAATCAACCATCTAAAAATACAAATAAAAATTTTACTACTTAGTGTACATATTTTTGTGTAAAAATGCACTTTGCAACTCAATTTAGCACAAAAAAATGTTGCACCTTAAAGGGTTAAAATGGTTTGCTACGGCACATAGTGACCGATCATCTTCTAATTTCGTTACAATACTTGCATTTAGTTCTTTGCTAACATGTAGAGCCATTTTTTGAGGTTGAACAGAATAAGTTATCTGACAAATTTTCAAATTTGACAGTGACAGTATGTAAATAATAAGTATTTATCCTTTTTTTTGCCTTATATGACGCATCAAGGAACAAAATCATTACAAATAAGTAGAGACAGGGTGATACAATATCACCGAAACTTTTCAATCAGGCTCTTGGAGATACTTTTAAAAGATTAGAATGGAAAAAAAAAGGTACAAAAATTTGTGGACAACGCTTGAACCATCTAAGGTACGCTGATGACGTCGTATTGATAACCGATAAAAAAGATGAATTATTTGAAATGATGAAAGAACTGGACGTAGAAGCTGGAAAGATAGGCCTTAATATGAATTACAGCAAGACCAAAACTATAACAAATACAGATGAAGACATCACAATGAGAATCGGACAAGATGAAATAGAACAAGTTAAGGATTATATATATCTTGGTCAAACTATAAAACTTAACAAAGAGAACCAAACAGCAGAGATCAAGAGACGAGTTAGACTGGCATGGGCGGCATTTGGCAAACTAAGCTACATTCTTAAAAACAAAAGATATCCACAGCATCTTAAGACCAAAGTATATAATCAATGCGTACTCCCTGTTCTTACGTATGGCTCCCAAACGTGGACATTTACAAAGCAAACATGGACAAAATCATAAAAACCCAAAGAGCAATGGAAAGACAAATGTTGCACATAAGACTAATGGATAAGAAGAGAAACGAGTGGATAAGAGAGAAAACAAAAGTGAGGGATGTTAGACAAGAAGTTGCAAAATTGAAATGGAGATTTGCCGGACACAATATAAGACAAAAAGAAGACCGATGGAACAAAATTCTTATAAGTTGGAGACCGTGGGAATATAAACGAAGCAGAGGAAGGCCCCAAATGAGATGGGCAGATGATATCAAGAAGCACGTGGGCTCTAGATGGATGACTGTTGCGACAGACAGACAAGAATGGAAAAGGATTGGGGAGGCCTATGTCCAAAGATGGACCGAAGAAGGCTAATTAGATAGATAGATGACGCATCAATCACGCAGGGTTATTAGCGTGTATGGATTGTGATACAAAGTTAGAACTTAACAATAAAATATTAACTATAGCAATACATAAATAGAAATAAACCTAGATCAATACACAGTAAAATATTAGATTTTTGATACCAACTGGCAGTATTTGAGAAAGGCGAAAATATTTTTTAGTATTACTGTCGTTTCCAAGAGCACTGTTTAATCTTGATGGAATGTTATACATTTTGCGTTGTACATCGTACTTGGGGCACTGCAATAAACAACCGCTAAGACACTTTTACACAGGTTTATCAGTACGTTTTAGTAGGTAGTCGTGTGTTAACGAGTATGCCAATCCGGAGGCGAGTGAAATTTACTTGTTGTCTTCTATTGTTGAATTTTGGGAATTTTTTATGATTCTTATCAACTTCGTACAGCTTGGTTGACGAGTTCTTCCATGTATCTTGCCATATTGAATTAATCTTTTCTTTAAAGAATACTTTCAGATCGGTGTGAAAACATTTCGAATTTTCTTCTGCATTTGGGTTAGTAGGTGCATTTTTTGCTATTTTATCTACAACCTCGTTTCCTTCGATTCCAGTATGTGACGGTACCCATATAAAATTAACTTTAATGTTCATATTTTCCGCATGTTTTAGTTCCGTTTTAATGAGAAGGAGTAGTGGATGGTTACAGTAAAGTTGGTTTAATGCCATTATTGAGCTAAGAGAATCTGTAATAATGATATTTCTCTTTTTATTTTCGTTATAGTTTATTTTTATGAACGAGAGAGTAATTAGCATAATTTTAACTGGTACCTTCGACCACTCCATGGGCGTGCTCAAGATTAATTGAAAAATTACTTTGAATAATTGTAAAAAATAAATGAATTATTTCAGTGTTATAAAGTGTTATGTGTATGTAAACAAAAGTGACCTCTTTTATCACACACTATATTAGAACTGACTGGCCTGCATTAAAAAGGGTTTTAAAAAATTCACATTTTTTTTAATTTTTAAAAATTACAAAAGAGAAAAAGAGTTTTTAAAACCGTCTAAGGTATGTTAAATAGATGAATAAAAATATTAATATAAAACTTACAGCTACTTGTTACAATTCCAAATCAGATTCAGAAGATGAACTTTCAGAACCAAGATGTATAATAACTGGCTCGATCATTTTATCAGTAATATTGTCCAGCTTCCACATTTTTTCCTCTTCTTTATTAGTGTGATTTACTGCCTTTTCCCAGTTTTCAGGTTTTACATTATTTACGGCCTCCAAAAACAACTGTTTAACATCATGAATTTTAAAAGTGGTATTTTTTCTTGAAACTTTAATCTGTGCCATACCAGTTCAATCGGGTTTAATTCACAATGATATGGTGGGGATCTAAGTACTGTCATTCCACGATTTTTGGCAATTTCATCAATTTCGTATTTTTTAAATTTTTCTTTATGAAGGGCACACAACGAATAAAGTTCCTTTCTTATAGATCCGGGATGGTACGTAATATTTTTTGAACTCAGCCAATTCTGCAAGTCTTTTTTTTAAACCACTTGGTTGTGGCAGTCCTTCTATAAGTCTGGAGTGATAACTTGCATTAGCCATTACTATTACACAGTTCTTAGGAAGAAGATCTATCATTTGTTCGAACCATTCTTGAAAGACATCAGCGTTCATGTCTTGATGGTAGTCACCGGTACGAGTTGATTCAAAATTTAATAAACCACCTTCAACAAAACCGTCTGAACTGCCAATGTGTACCATTATCAGCCTGCGTCCCTTTCCTGATGGTGGGTTTAAACCAGTAGATAAGTTATTTACAAATTTATTTGGTGTATGACCCTCGTTGATCCATGTTTCATCAAGATAAAATATTTTTCTTTTTTGGTTTCTCATTTCCTTTATGGTTCTTAGAAAATGTCTTCTCCATCTGACAATATCGCTTCTTTCTAATAAAATAGACTTTCTGGGATTCTTTTTCCAGCGGAAGCCTATTTCTTTTAAAAGTTTCCATAACGTACTTCGACTCATTTCTGGGTAATCCTTATCATCTCGAACTGAGACAAGAACTTTATCCAATGTTGGAAATTCTTGTCTAAAGAAGAATTCATGCACTTTCCGTCGAAGTCCTTCTTTAAAATGATATTCTATTTGAAATTTTGGTTTCCCTGGAGCATTACGTGGCATTTGAAAACTACCACATTTCTCTTCTTTAATAACTCTGTAAATCGTAGATTTCCCAACACCAAGTGTACTGCTAACTAACTCAACGGTCTCATCAACACTTTCACATAAACGTTTGTCTGTAAATGATTTAAAACAATTAAATATTAATGTTTTTTCATTAACTGTTAAAGGACCAATATTTCGGCGTTTACAAGGCACTTCCAAATTTTCCATAACACTAGTATACACAATAAACTGCACCTTGCAACTGAAGTACCTACTTTTAGTGAACTGTTAAGAATTTTGAATACGCCACTTGAACCTTCCTACAAAATGGAAAAACCCACTATCACATTTTCTGTGGAATAAGTTTAGAAGGTAATTACTGTCGTAGATTCCTGGAATTAAAGAATTAAATGTTTGATTGTTGAAACCCTTACTTCGTGGAATGCACTCATTTCAGATAAAATAAAACGTTTTATTTTATCTAAAGAATTAAACTTTATTTTGCAAATAGGTAGGTACTTATTAAACTTTTATTGGTTATATATAACCAATAAAATAAACATCTTACATTTCTTGCAAATTCATTAGTACCTGTTAACCTCCATCACTCCGACACTGGCAACCTTATTTAGGGATTAGTAACCCTCACAAGTATTGTATTCTATTCTGCTCCAACCTTTATACCTGGTGGTCATACTCAATTTAAAATTGTTTTCCTATATACTTCTGTAAACTTGTTGACAAATATCTGTTTTTCATTGAGTCACCCGTATCAACAGTTTAGGTTGATAAAAATACACTATAACTATCAGAACTAGTGCTTTTAGTATCGCATACAGTTCAGCTGAGAACGTTGTTGTATATGAAGGTAATTTGTAAGCTTTTGTATACTCTGAAGAGTAGATTGCTGCCCCAGTTTCGTATTCGTTTTGGAGGCATCGGTGTAAACTTTAAGTATTTATCCTTGACAATACACTGCTCAATTTTTTTACAAAATACGCTTTAAGAGTCGTATGAGTTTTTTTAGGATCCAGCTGTACATCTTCAAGGATTTGTCATCAACTATTCCAATCTCTTCAGTCATCCAATATTTTTTTTATCTATTATCTTTGGGATTTGTGTTGTTACTTGCTTCAGTGATCCACTTCTTGTTATTAGTGTGACTTTATTAATTTGATTATTCACTGTACTTTTCTTTACACACTATGTAAGTGGGGTCATTGGGCATCTACTTTATCGCCAACAATAGAAAGCAACCACTTAATGTAACTATCAAGTAAAATATCTTCTATTAGTACTTCCTACATTGCACATCAAATTAGGGGTCGACTAATGACCTTAAAAGTTGACTGCATTGTTTCGGAATTATCTCGTATAATATAACAGTTAGTTATAAAACAGATAAATCCTTGATAACCTTATTTAAATATTTATAAAGCACGTCAAGTCAAAAATGCAGTTTTTTACATCGAATCAACAAACAATAGTGCTCGTACTCGAACTCTACTACCACAAACGTCAGGACCTTTCAACTTCCAGTCTCATTAAAGGTGCTAAAACTCGCGAACGTTGTTATATCGAAGTGTTTTTGGAATTTAACGCTATCTGGTGACGTAACTGTAAGATAAAGTTAAATGTTAGCAGAAGACAAACGAGCTTACATGCTTTTCCCAAAGTAGTGCAGTTAATCGACGAAAAAATGGATTTTTGTGCCGTTTTGTTAGTGGTTACGTTGTGCAAAGTGTCTATGTAAGTGCAAAGTTCATTATTTCCCAGTTTTACAAGCAAGTATCCCTGGATTTTCCAGATATACATCATGGGGAAGTTAGATAAGCAAATTTTAACATCTCTTTTATATTAAACCTTGTACAAGTAATTTTCAAACATACATTTACGCGCATACGGTGCACAAATTCTACGAAATACTCGTTTTATTCCTAGAATTCGACAATTCATGCTGGTTGACTCGCTTTTTTAGGTTATAATTATTTTTAGCGCTCTTATCAACTGTTAAAAATTATTTAATATGAAGAAATTAATCAATGACACTAAGTGACTGGTTGTAAATAATTTAGTTAGTACAGTAAATTAGTTAAAAAATTGTAGCATACATTATCTTGTCCATGCTTTAAATTGTGGTGTTTCAGCTGAGTTTTCGAAGGCAAACAAACCGCTTATATGCTTCGAAGATGCTATTTTTTTTGTTGAATTTGGTTGGAATTAAAAAACATATAGGTACTTATACTTATATAAAAAAAAACCTATCACCATCTTTTTCGGATGGTCCATTCCTCCTTAGTTATGTCTCTACCTCTCATTATTCTTCTGATTCTTTGTCTTCATTCGAATACTGGTCTTCCTCTTCTTCTTCTATTTCATAGAACATATTTTAAAGTCTGTTTTGGCCATAGTTTATTCTTCCATTTGCCTTATATACCCGTACCAGAATAGTTGTTTGGATTTTATTGTATCTACAATATTGTAAATCCTTTCTGTTCCTCGGTCTACCCCTTCCAGTTTTTCTTTTCTTTCTTCGTCATTTGCCAACATTAGGATTCGTACATCAAATATTAGATTTTTTCAGTTTCCAGTGCTCCGTAAAACGTATGACGTCATAGAAATTTTGATCCAAAATTTTATTATTTATTTAATAAACATTACAATAAACGTTAAAATTTACTCGATATAAAAATACAGTTTATAGGCAAACATCTATACGAGGTTGTTTGTATAGTTAAGCGACTCGATCGTTGCAAACAGGAAGCCTTGTGAACTGCCCTCGTAGGCACGCTGGTGGCACTCCTCCGTTATGTGCTTGAATTGGACCTCATAGCAGCTGCACGATGGTAATTCTAGCTTGTCCCATTTGTGCAACATATCTGCGCATCGACCATGTTGAGTTCTGATGCGGTTAAGTGTGCATCAGGACTTACGTGGTAGGTCAAATCCAGCATGTGTCTATTTGATGCAAGGTATGGCTGTATTTGGTTGAGATGCCGACCATTCATGGATCCATTTGGTGATCATGTTGAACCCTGTGATTGCGGTTGATTCTGCAGTTTGTATTGAAGATTTTCTGGAGCGCAGTCGACTTTTGGTTGCATCTTATATATAGTTATGAATCGGCAGCGCCGTGTTGCTAAGGATCTTGTTATCTTCTTTGCTAAGCAGATTAAGCCGGTGAAGATGTGGTAGTGAAATGTCGCTCAGTACTGGTAGCCAATGTATTGGTGTAGATTTGATTACTCCAGTAATCATTCTCATGGTGTTATTTAGTTGGATATCTATAATTTTAACGTGAGCACTGTGGATTCTTTATTGAAGCGCACTATGCAGCTACGGAATAAACAAGAGCTAGGCCTGAAGACCTGAGTGTGGATGCAGATGCCCCCCATGTTGTGCAGCAGAGCTTCTGAATGATGTTATTACTGGTTTTTATCTTCTCCACAACTGTTCTTAAATGTTCTCGAAAGCTTAACTTTCTGGTCTAGATATTTTGGATGTTTATTGTAGTTGGCTCGTTTGTTATCAAAGTTAACGTTAATGGTTCTTGACGCCGGATTATTGTTTAGGTAAAAACGGGTTACTGCGATCTTGGAGACACTGAGGCGAAGTCTCCATTTTTGAAAGTAATTTCCCATCATCATCATCATCATCCAGCCTCAAGAGTCCACTGCTGAACATAGGCCTCTTCCTCATGTTTACAACCCCGTGTATCTTGCGCCCGTTATGCGCGGCGCAATTTCCCATAACTTTCCCATAACTTCTAGGTCTTCCGTAAGAGTCTCTTCAGCTTCTTCTAGTGACTTTGTTTGGGTTAATAAAGCCCAGTCATCAGCGTAGCCAAACTTTGTTGATATTGTTATCGGCATGTCTACAATGTACAGGCTAAAAAGCAGTAGTGCGAGTATTTAGCCTTTTGGCAGACCATTTTTGAGTTTTCTGTGGGTCCTTACTTCGAAGCCTATAGTTACTTGAAATACTCTGTTGGTGAGCATATTTTCTATTAATCTAGCAGTAAATTTGCAAGGAATAGTGCATAAGAGTTTATAATAAATCATTCCTTCTCGCCAGACGATGTCGAAAGCTGCTGATAGATCTATGAATACAGCAGAACTCTTTAGTTTTCTTTGAAAGTCGGCTTCTAGGTAAGTACAGAGAGATAATACCTGGTTTGTGTAATCTCGTATAGCTTTGAGGATTGTTGGGCTCATTCTGTTAAATATTAGTCTTTCGAGTAGTTTATACATGATAGACATTAGAGCGATTGGTCGATAGCTTTTTGGGTGATCAGCTGGTTTACTCGGTTTTAATATTGCTTTGAGTTTTGAGTGTTGCAATTCCGGTGGGATTCTGCCTTTCTGAAAAATGTTTGTGAAGAAATGTGATAGCCAGGTTTTTGTGTATGTCCTGCCATTGAGTATGAATTCGGGGTGGATGCAGTTGAAACCTAAAGCTTTAGCCAGGGATATGCCTTTAAGGGCGAAATCTATTTCTTCAATTGTGAAAGAGAGTGTTCGGTCTCGATTCATTGCGATTTCAAGGTTTTTAAATGTTTCTTTATGTCTTGTGTGTGAGCTTTATCTCTGGTAGCTCTTGATGTCGAAACAGTATGAGATGCCACTAAGTTTGGGTTTATACTTACTTTCTGTTGTTGAAAACTTGATCTACAAGAAAAGCATTAATGATATCGACGTTATTTGAAATACAGTATATACATTCGTTTATTTTGATTGATAAGAATTTGTAGAAGTTTTTAGGTTTCTTCTTCCGTCTTCTTTAAGTGCTGAAAAGTTCTTTTGAAGTTAATTCTCCTAAATGCAGCTTCTTTTGGCCAGATATTAGTTCTGTAGACTTCGTTAATTTTATCGAAATGAAAATATACCTTATGTAGAGTATTTGTCGGATAATATCGGGCACTTTTTCACCCAAGAATTTTAGATCATCGGCTTTCATATCAACACTCATGCGGTGTTAATGCTATTTTCTGCTGAATGTTCCGTTTTGATATTACTTCCTTCGCTATCACTGTAACCTCTTCTTCTTAAAGTACCTATCTGTTCCGGATGTTAGTGATCATTACGGATATCTTTACTTTGTTTACTGCAGCGCGGAACAGTTCAGTTGTAGTCGTGTTATACCACTTTCGTAAATTTTGAAGCCTGGAAATGCGTCTTCTTCCCGGTCTTCTCTTACCATTTATCTTCCCTTGGAGAATCAGCTGGAGAAGGCCGTAACGCCAAGGCCAACTTTTTAGTTTTGACGGTCACGAGAATTTCACCTTCTTTCCCCATTCTACGCAGGACCTCCACATTAGTAACTCTGTAAATCCAGGATATACGTAAGATGCGCCTATAACACCACATTTTGAAAGCTTCGAGCCGATTCATAGATGCTACAGTCAGTGTCCACGCTTCCATTCCGTAGAACTGATGAAAATAGTTCTCATTCTAACGAATCACTGTATATAGGTATTTAAATTCTTAGCATTTTTCTATATCTCTAATCGAGAGTTCTGAGTCTGTTTCTTCGTCTTTTATTCTAAGATATTACGTTTTGTTAATTTTGACGATGAGTTCCCAATTTTTGTATTCTTTGGTTAACTTTTAATCATACAATTCATGTCTTCCTTATCGTTTGCCCTAATCATTTAAAAATTAATTATGTACTTGAACCCAAAGTTCTATTCCCCCACTCTGACATACTTATCTGGTTTAATCTCGCTATTCATTTGTGATCTTTTCCTATGAACTTCCATGCTTTAGATACTTAAGTTTCATCCATATATCTGTTGATTTTGTCACATTATTTGTCCTACGTTTCGTTTTTTGTTTTGGTCACAGATTTCTGAACTTCCCTATTTTCGATTTAGATACTCGAGTTCTGTCCATGGGGGGAAATATGAGTTCCTGTTACAATTATCGGTTACAGAAACCTTACCTATTGTGTGCTATCCCAGTTATTATTAAGTAGGGAACCCAAATATTCATAATTATCTTCCAGAACACCAACCAAACGTCTTCGTCTTCTCTATGTTCAACTTGACGCAAGTCTATCTATTCATTCGCTGGAAGTACAGTTTTAACTGCATTCTTCTTTGTGCCAAAACTATCTTACGTTGGCGACCATCATGTCAAAGATTTTACGGTCTTCCACATGTTTCTGCTCTTTTTTTTCATCAAAATTAAGACCTTTCCAGGAGTCTCCAGAATTCTTTATGTCCCTAGAGATTTAGAAGACCTATCATCTTGTTATCTAATATGATTTATAAATTTATCGTTAAGAGTCACGAATAAGATTTACAATATCATAGTCATTTCTCGAATTCTAATTTCCACCAATTTCTATCAGATAACTATCATCCTGTAAAAACCTTTCGGTAATGGCTGGTCTGATGCTTTCCTGCTATGTCTTTTTCGGGCGCCCTCTACTTCGTCTCCGCATTGGTCTTTACTAAATCATTTTCGTAGCCTACTTGTCTCCATCCGTACGTCTTACATGTCCTTAACATCTCAAACTATTGGCTTAATTGGTAACAATTATTGCTGTTTAAATAAAACATTCTTTTCCGTATCATTTCTTATTTTGTCGTAAAGTGTTATCCTACAGAAATGTCTCCAAACCCCAATTTCCATTGACACTGGCTTCTTTCTGTCATTCTGTCATTTGCCAATCCTTACATCCATAAGTTGTAATCCTTTCGACTCTGGTCTTGTAGATTCTGATCTTTCTCTCCACATTTTTCATCG